CCCCCCACCCAAGGCCCCGGCCGTAATCCGCAGCCGCAGCACCGGCTCTAGCAGCTCAGCACTGCAGGCGAGCGCGCTGGAGCTGGACGGCAGCGCCAGCGCCTGCAAGGTGGGGGCTGCCACACGGCCGCCTGGGTAGCCTGCTTGCGTGCTTGTGGCCGTGTGATGGCATGCGCCCAGACCGGGGGTGGTTCTTGCAGTAAATGCGGGGTCCCTCCAACCGCCTGTCACGGCTGTAGGCGCTCTGAGCAGCATGCCCGTCAAGCCTTAAGATGAGGTCTGTGGGGTGCAATGCTGTGCCGACGCCTCTGTCGCTCCCAAAGCTGATCTAATACGACCTGCCTACTTCCCATGCACAGTCGCGCGCGGCGACGAGCGGGCCCTCTTGCTACCAGCGGGCGCGAGCGGTCCCGCCCCCACTGGGCGTGGGCGGGCCTCCAGGGCCGCGGCCTGAGATGATGGTTAGCGGCTTAACCAACAAGCAGCCGCCGCAGCAGCAGCAGCAGCACCACCACCACCACCACCACCGCCACCACCACCACAACTACCCCCACCAGCACCACCAGCAGCAGCAGCAGCAGCAGCAGCAGCAGCAGCAGCAGCAGCAGCAGCAGCAGCAGCAGCAGCAGCAGCAGCAGCAGCAGCAGCACCAGCACCAGCGCCACCATGACCACCACCATTTCCACAACTACCACCAGCGGCCGCACTTTAACCAGCAGCATCAGCAGCAGCGGCAGCAGGGGCAGCAGCAGCAGCAGCAGCAGCAGCAGCGGCAGCGGCAGCAGCAGCAGCAGCAGCAGCCGCACTGCCAGCAGGCCCCGCTCTGGCCCCAGCAGCAGCAGTGGGAGGCCCGCACCGCCCAGCCACAGGCGGTCACCAATACACACGGCCAGCAGCCACGGGCCTTGGCGCCCATGGCTATGCCACCGGGCAGCGGCGGGTGGCCGGCGCAGGGGCCAACTCCAGCGGCCCCGTGGGGCGCCAGGCGGCGGCGGCGAGGATGAGGTGCAGCCGGTGTGGCCGCCCTCCTTTGCTTTGCCCTGCCTGCTGTTTGTTTTACGTGGTCACCGACTGGGTTCGTTGGTCCGCAACCTGCCCTTTTGCCTGCATGCCTGTGCACATTATGAATTCGCTGGGTTGAGCTTGGGACCGCCGCATCACCCTCTTGCGCGTGCGTCCAGAGCTCCCGGACCCTTTTCCTCGGCCGCTGAGAAGCGATTGCCCTTGGTGCGCCGCACCCGCCACTCAGTGCTGCCTTGAGATGCTAGGGTTGAGCTCACCTTCATGGTTCGTGGCCTCCCTTTCCTTGAGCGGCCACCAAGTTCGCCGCAAGGCGGACGGCACCTGCAGCAGCAGCGGCGGTTTCAGCTCTAACACAAGCGGTCAGCATCACATCCGGCCAGCAGCCTCGCGCCCTTGCATCCAGGGCTTTGAGACCATCTGAGTCTGACACTCGGCAGCGGCGGGTGGCCAGCGCAGGGGCTGGCTCCTGCGGCCCCGCGCGGCGCCAGGCGGCGGCGGCGGCGAGGTTGAGGCGCAGGCGGCTGGGCGCCTCCTTTGCCCCATCCTGCCGTTTGTCTTGAGGCGTCACCGGCCAGGCCAGGCCATGACCCCCCTTCGTGCCTGCCTGCCTGTATTTGTTGAACCTCGAACTCAGAGGGTTGAGCCAGGGACCACCGCATCACCCCCTTTGCGCGCATGTCCAGACCTCCCCAACAAGTGTTTCCTTGGCCGCTGAGAAGCGAACACCCTTGGTGAATGTTACCAGCCGCCCAGCCTTGCTTCAACGCGCCCCGGTACCAGTTTTACAGCTCCCTTCCTCTGTTGATGGCCAGCCGGTTCGCCGCAAGGTGTACGACACCTGCCGGGGCATCCAAACCTTCACCATTGGACAGGCAGGTGCCACGGTGCTTTCGTACGACTAAGGGGGAGTGTTGACGGGCACACCTGGCTCTGCGCTGGTAGCACATGCTCCGCACTCTTTTGGCAGCCAGGGGTGTTATCACTCTTTGTTGCCTTCTGGACTTGGGTCTGCAGAGTTGTCATTTGTGGGAGGTGATCTCTGGTGCTGTAACTTGCTTCTTGGCATCTGCTGCACTAGTCTTGCGGGCTATGCAACATACATAGCGACAACTTAACCCAAGTGTGTCATGCAACGCCCTCATCACCACTGTCGTTGGCCTGGTCATGCATCGCGTGAATCTGTTAAAATTGCACTTCTATTGCGGCAAAGAATAGATGATGCTTACAGTGAAATTGCATGATGGCATCATGGCACAACACCACTGCCAGTACAGGGCAGAAGCTCACAGGGTTCAGCGCCAATCACGCTTGAACGCCGCATTGGCACGTCAGGGCCGCGTGCTGGTTGGGGCCAGTCCAGCTAGGGGTCGGTGATGCATGAGGTTTGCGGCAAGCTGTTGGTGAAACGGCCAACTGGAGCCCGCACACAAGAAAGAAAGGCAGCTCATACCTTCAGTTGAAAAAAACAGCCTCGACACCTAAACTCCAAGACGCGCCTCAGGCTGCTGCCCGTGCTGGCACGCCCGGCCAACAAAGCCCCCCCTTTCAATCACGTGTTGGTTGGTGAGGCCAGGCTGCGCCCCTCCCCGCCATCGCGTTTGAAGCCCTTGTCTGTGTCAGCCAGTGACGGGGTTCTCCGATACAGCGCCCACCAGGCGTCACCAGCAAGGCAGCCTCCACTCTGCCTCCTGGGGGCTGTCTTCTGCGCCAGCATCTCTGGGAGGACAGGTGTTTGTGTAGCGTTGGCGGCTCGCACAATGCACATTAGATTGCGCTTCAGAAGTGTGCATGCGGTTGCAAGATGACATCGGCCAACAAAAGTCAAGCAGACGTCGTATCTGATGGGGGTGCAGCCCTGCCCTGCCGCCACCCCTGGGGGGGGGTCGCAGCCACAGCAGCACCCTCACCCGCGCCTCTCGCCAGCGCCTCCAGCACGCCCCAGCAGACGTGACACTTGCGGTGGCGTTGGTGGCGGCGGCAACAGGTTGAGGGGTGTGAATGTGAGGGGACACAGCAAGAACTGAGCAAAGGCCTGGCTCATGGCATTGAGATGACATCAGCACACACCCAAGCCTTCAGCATCCTGCGTCCCTTAAGCTAGCCAGGCAGCTGCACCGCTGCCGCTCATGCCGCCTGCGATTCACCCTCACCTGCCGATGAACGCTGCAGCCAAGTGCATGGCCCCATTGCGCCCGCAGGCCATGGGTGTCGCCGCCACCAGAGTCACCTGGCCGCCTGGAAAGCTGGTGCCAGCAGACCTGATCGCCACCTTTGCAAGGTTCTCAGTGACACGCACAAGCCCGCCAAGACTTTGCTGACTCGCCCGCTCCTACGCCAAAAGCAACCGGCATCGTGCTGCTGGGATGTCTTGAGGTGATCGCCGCTGCCGCACGCGCGGTGAGGCTGGCCCGAGAGGGCTGCCGCCTGACGGCTGCCTCCATCCAGACTAGCGCGCCGCCAACGCCGCCCGCATGGCGGCGGTTGCGTGCAGGCAGGGAGCCGCGCTGCATTGGACGTGGTTCCGGGTCTGTCCTAGGAGGGGTGACATGTGTGTGGGACGGCAACATATGAGAGATGCCCCGCGTGCTGCTTTGATTGCAATAATTGGATGCAAGGTTGTGATTGGCGTTCTGGTTGTGGTGGTGGTCTTGGTGATGTTACCGGTGGTGGCGCTAGCAATGTACGGATGACCTGTGTGGGAGGATGACTGCAATGGCCCCGCGGTGCAGAACCCCCGCTGAATTGGCACACCACTTGCCGCCACGCGCCAGTGCGAGTCCGACTCTCTTCCGCCATCTTGATGGTGCTTTATGTAGCCCTTTACAGAAGTCCCCCGCGCAGGAGCCTCACCTGCTGACCCAGGGGGGGGGCGCTGCCTCCCGCAGGTGGCCTGTCAAACAGGCTGGTGGCTTGATCAGACCCGAACTTTTATCCTGTCACGACTCCACACATTGACACCCTAAGCGCCGCTCGTTCCTGCCACCTGCTGCTGTCGGCCACGCTTGAAGGCTGCCGCAGCCTGGGGGGGCGGACCAGGCGCAGCCTCGGCTACTGCAGCCTGAGGGCAGAGAGACGAGGCGCGGGCCAGGGGTGTGCATGCCCTCAGAAACACGCCGCGGGACATCAGACCTGCTATAGGTCCACCGCCTCCCGCGGCATCTGTGGCCCCGCATCGCCACCTTCACTGGGCTCTGCATTGTCTAGCTGCCCACGCATTGCAGCAGCACCGGCGATCCTTAATGGCTGCGTCTACTCGCTTCAGCCGCACTCAAACACAGCTCTGTCATGACCTGCATGCCTGCAAGGCACAAGGGCGTGATAAGCAGCCCTGAATGCAGCGCCTATGCGCAGGTTCAAGGCCAGAGTATGTTTCAACTCCTGGGATGGCGGCCACGCATGCAGCGCCTGGGCCGTTGCTGGGTACCCGCGCGGAAGTCGCCCATGCAATGTGGTGGGGGCTCACCTCCTGCAGGCACACAGGCGCCTTGCTTTGCCGTCGTATTTTCCGCAGCGCGCTAGCTAGCAGCCGCTGATGCCCGTCGGCCTGGTGCCATGGGGCCGGGCTCAGGCCTCATGAGTTGGAACTTGCGCTGTTGCGACTGCAAGACCAAGTGCATCCCATTGTGCGCAGCGTCCGCGCTGCCGCGCAGCCTGCCGCTGTTGAGGCCACCCGTACAGAGTACGGCGCTGATTCGCAGGTGATATCATGATAGACGAGCGCGGCCTTGGCTCATTGTTGTGAACAACCGCAGTGACTGTCTACACGGTGACATGCAGATCTGCATGTCACTATCTATCTATAGATATTGGCGCAAGATAGCCTGAACGATACGGTATAATACGATTGTGTAGGATTGTTCGTCATCTCAGTGAAAGTGAAGGCGCAAGTGGTGAAAGTGCGTTGCGATCTTTCCGGTATGGATCTCTCGGATCCTGCTGGGATGAATTGCTTTTCGTCACCAAGTGCAATGCAGCAGGAACACGTCACTGGATAACATCCCCTACATACAGCGGCGCCTCCTGGCAAGACGAGTACACCGGCAGTCAGCAGCTCCAACACCGCGTTGCTCCCTCACCCGCCACAGAGCTGCAGTGTGCGCAGAGGTCTATTTGCGTGTCACGGCCGGTCGCCGCCCAAACTTGCTGCGCAGTATGCAAACTTAAATTAGAACAGAACCATGCATCGGGGCTGGCCTCCTGGCTCGTTTGTGCGATACGGCTTTTGAAACTTGCCATGCTTGCCGCGGTGGCCTTGCACCGTGCTGCACTCGCTCGTGTTGTGGCCCTGCCCTCGCAGCTGCGAGGACACCGTACGCCAGTTGGTGAAGAGTTTGTTGCGCTCAGGGTAGGGTTCTGGGTCGATCAGCACACTGCTGGTGTGCCATCACCCAACGGCAGCCGGCTTAATCGAAGGGTCCACCCTCAAAGGCAGCCCCAGCTTGCACGTTTCAACCCATGAGGGGCTGCAGAGAAGCGGAGCAATTCAGCAGCTGACTCAGCGTTGAGTATTGACGTATTGCAATTAGCCATGAACACCACAGAGGCACTGATGTCGTGCAAAAGTGTTGAACAATTCTGCACAAAGAGCAGAATGCATCACACCGTCGCCTGCCACGCACCACACCGCTGGCCCTGCATCAGCACACTCTTTGCTTGCGCTTGCTTAAACCCTCCACCGGGATGTCGTGGGCTGAGGTCTCCCATGTCAACTGGGCTGCCGCAGCAATGGAGGGGTGTGGTGGCATCGCTGTGGCCAGCAGGAGTGCATGGGCAGCAGGCCAGAGTCGCTCCATTCAGCACAGGGATGCAGACTCGAAGCGCAAACAGTGAAGTATGCGAGTCATTCCTGGTGTGCCTGTGTTGGATACGCACACAATACCGTACCTCAGCAGCGGCCTGGTACAACAATGCAAGAGGACCAGGGGCTGTGCAGCTTCCGCTGCAGACTGCTCGCCACCCTTGCTTGAACAGCGTCAATGCGTTGTTCCGATTAACCAAAGGTCTTCACATACAAACACATTTTTTTGCTTTACGACCTTGATGGAGTCAAACCCGCTTTCGGGCGAGTTGTCTTGAGGACAGCGACCTTCGCTGGCGGCAACGAGGAGAGAAATGGCGTCAGGCATGGCGCATATGGCGTTCCAAGTAGCAGCAGCAGGCGCCGAGGTGAGCGGGCCCCGGGGCTGGGGTCCACTGCTGTTTTCGCTGCGTGGCGACGTCTGCGCGGCCCAGCAGCGATCGTAGAGTACGGAGATCGTGCTCCTATATGGACCTTCACATACCCCTCGCGCGGAACCCACGCTGCAGGGGCTCCTGGCGATAGCCCTCGGGCCCGACAAGGCCGAGGAGGCTCTTTCTTGGGGCTACTACGCGGCAGGAGCCGCGGTGGGGACTGTGGAGGCCTTCAGCGCCGCCTACAAACGGCTAGGCAGCGTGGTGATCGCGCCGGCCGAGGACAGGTGCGTTGACTTGCTGCGTGTGCGCTGCGCTGCTCGCGGCGTGTGCCGGTTCACAGCATCCCTGTGCTCCTCGACAGCCCTGCTGCACTGGTGCGCGCATGCATTGTTTATGGCTGCAGATTGCCCTCACCCTCTTCCGCTGCCAGTGCCCACACTGCAGGGGCGCAGATGCGGGCGCGGCGCTGATGACCCAGGAGGCGGCCGCCGCATCGCTGTCGGAGGGCAGCAAGGCATCGACGGCGCCTGCCGCCATCACGATCCACGTGGTGGCTGGCGACATCGAGGAGGGCAAGGCCCAGGAGGGGGACGAGCAGGAGGAGGAAGAGCTGGTGTCCTGCGTGGGTAGGTGCTGCCGCTGCACCACGATCCCGAGCATCGCCATGTGCATGGCGTGGCCCCACATACATGCATGCAAGCAGCGTCCTCTGTGCATGTGTCACACATGCGACCCCGCCCTAGCGGCGACCTGCAGCACTGTGAGAGGCTGCGCGTGTCCTTGGCTCTGCTCAGCCATGCACCCCTGGGACAATCTCATGGCATGCTGCTTGCCCCACTGCTGCCAATCCCTCGCCACCCGCCACAACTGCCGATTGCGGCCTACGGCACTCCTCCCACCCCAAATGCGCAGACGCCGACAAGCGGGATGTGCGGAAAGGGGATTGTGTCCTCATCACTTTCTTCCCGGAGGGTGAGGGCACCTGCCCTGCCGGCCGCGGCCAAGTGAGTCCATGCTTGGAACGCGCAGAGGCGCGCCAGCACATGCACGCGCTGGGGGCGTATGAGACTGGCTCGGCGCCGCCCTGGTTGCCACTGCTCGGGCTGCCACGACTGCACCAGTAATACCGCATTGCGTATAGTGCTGGAACACCAGCCGCACTGTAACGCACCCAGCACGCACGCCATGGGGCTGACGATGCCGCCGCTTCAAAGGCCAGCACCCCGCCGAGCTTTCTCCCGCCCGGCCCTCACCCACACCGCTCTCGCACTTCTCCCCGCGCTGCCTTCATTGGTGGCTCATCAGGTGTACAGGCTTGAGTTGGACGCCTTCCCCTCCAACCCGCCGCACACTGGTGCTGGCTCGCGGAGCCGCCCCAGCTCACCCGCCAAGGGCATGCCAGCTGGTGATGACGACCAGGTGCGTGGGCCGCCGTCCCAGGGTGCTTGCGGCCATGCGCCCCGAACGCGTGTGTAAATGATTGAGAGCGCAAGCTGCCTGCAGGGTTAGAGACTCCCTGGGGGTGGCAGCCCCCTGGCAAGCTTGCTCGGCGGCCGGCCCGTTATGTTTTTGTTTGCTTGTCGCCAGGCAAGGCACAACGCACAGGGCTGTTTGAGCAGAGGCCTCATCCGCACCGCGCTTCACTTAACCATACCAACCTCAACGCTAAGCCTGATCCTCCCCTGAATTGCTGCACTGGGTGCAGGGTTCGTTTGACGACATCAGCTCCGCCGCGCACGCCAGCGTCGAGCTTGGAGGCAACAGCACGGCGTGCACGGTAGGCCGGGGCGAGGTGATGCAGGCTGCGGGCTGCGGGCTGCAGGAAGTTTGTGCAAGAAAGTGCATCACACCGTAAAAGGGAAAAGCGCGGCAACTGTACCCCCGCGCACGGCGACCAAAGCCTTGAACCTTGAGCCTTGCTTGTTGCTTTGGATTGGGTCAACTACAGGTTGGACGCGCTCTCACACCCGCTCTGCGCCACATCCTTGCGCACACCCCCAGGACATCGTGAGCTCGCGGCTCTGGGCGCCGCAGGCGGAGCCCCGGCTGCTGGAGGCCGCCGCCGCCCCCCTCAGGGCCGCCAGGCAGCAGGAGGACGGTGAGCAGCCGCCGCATGGCGCCGCGTGAGGCGCCACATTCATTGATGCATTGCTTATTGGTGCCCGTGCACACCTCTCCAAATTACGCTCTGTCGTCGCGACCACACTGCCTATACGCGCGCGCATGCTTGGCGTGTCCCCTTGCACGCAGGCGGCGCGCGCGGCGGCGCGGAGGGCGGGCTGCCTCCCTACGTGCTGGCCACGTACACCGATGCGGCGAGGAGGTGCGCGCGCGCATGTCGCAGCCGCCCAGCCCGCGCCCCAAACCAGACAGACGTGCATGCCGTGGGGCCAGCTGCCGCATGTGCCGGAAAGTGGCCGCGCCGTCGCCCTTTATTCGACGCTTCGCATCATTTCTGCCGTACCCCACCCCACGTAGTCCCCCAAGCCTACACCACGCGCATGCGGACTGCCCACTCACTCTGCCAGGTATAAGGTGCTGGTGAACCCCGACGACGGCTCCCTGATGGTGACCGTATATGGGCAACGCGTGCGCCTCAGCCACGACTGCGAGGAGGGGCTGCACCGCATCGTCATCGACCACCCGGAGTGAGGCCTGGCGCTCGCTGGCCCAAGCCTTGCATGTATTGAACTGGGGGCCTTGCTGGCGTGCGCAAGCCTGAGACGCCTTGCAAGCCCCAGTCCGCTGCGTCAAGGCTTGGGGGCGCCGGCCACGGCTGCGGGGGGCGTGTGTTTTGGGTGCGTGCGCACCGCCCTGCGCCGGCGCCTGCTGCTGAGGCTTTAGGCCCCTACAGGCTCACGCGCCTACCGACAGCCGTCTTCCCTTGCTGCATCTCACACCTCTACCCTCGCACCACCCCCAACCAAACCCAACACCCACAGCTTCTCCGCCCTGGTGTGGGGCAGGGAGGGGGAGCTGGTCCGCGGAGAGGTCGCCCCTGCGGGCACCTCCGCCAACCTCGAGCTACTGGAGGTGGCCTTCCGCGGCTGCCTCCACGCGCTGGACGTGCTGCGGCCCGCCCTTGGCCCGGGCGCCTCGTCCATGCCCACAGCCATCGCGCCTGAGCTGATAGAGGTGCGCAAACGCCTGCCTGCCTGCACGTGCGCTGGCCGCGGCTGCTGGGCACGGGTTGGGGAGCCTCGTAGGTGGCTTGATCCCAGGCGTGCGCTGCAGTGGGCGACCCCCGCACTCCTGCTTCCTTTCCGTCGAATTGCATGAGCAGCAAAGCCGCTGCACCCTCGTCACTCATCCCTACATCCTCCCATCTTTCCTTTTGAGACCAACCACCATTTCGTGCTCAACCCCCCCCCCCCCCCGCAGGCGCTGCGGGGCCTGCGGGCACCGAGCAATGCCTCGGCCCCCTCAAGCACCGCCAGCGCTGCTGGGAGCAGCCTTCAGAGCCCCACTGCCGCCACCAGGAAGCCCGCAAAGACGGCCGACAGGGTGAGTAGGCACTGGGTGGGTACGGGTGCTGTCAGGCAGAGAAGGGGCCCTGGGTCACCCGCTTGCTCGCAGCGATGCGGTGACGCAAGGCCGGCGCCGCTGCCGTTAGCTGCTGCTGTTGCGGGTGGCGCTTCCGCTTCTGCTGCTTCTGCTTTGGGAAGTCAGATGGCAGGGCATCCTTAGCCTCATGCATTGCACACACTGCGGCCAGCAGCTGGCTCTTTTAGTGACGAGGCCCGCAACTAACGCCTCAGGGTTGATGATGCAAGCCGCCCATGACGTTCGCGCAGCGCAGCGCTGCGCTCGCTGATCAAGCGTCGTCGATATCATCTAACCAACGACTGCGTGGCCGTGCCCGCTTCCAATGCACAGGAGCGCATGGCGGCGAGCGGGGCCGTCTCCCAGCAGCCGGCGCGGCGAGTCCTGCCCCTGCAGGTCGGCGGCGGACGCTCGGAGCAGATGCCTGCCATCGTAACAGGCAGCTGGGCAGACGCGATGTCCGAAGAGGACGAGGAGTATGGGAGGGAGGCCTCGCGGGCCAACAAGCAGCGGGAGCAGGAGCAGCAGCGACAGCGACAGCGGCGGCAGAGGCAGCCGAGGCTGCTACCGGGCGGGTCTGACCGCTGGTCAGGGCAGCAGGCGGGGGTTGAGCCGTGGGCGCAAGCCGGCGGCCGCCGCAGCGGCGGCCGCGCCAGCCACAATCAAAACCAGCCGGCGAACTTCAGCCACCACCACCAGCAGCAGCAGCCGCAGCAGCAGCAGCCGCTGCGGCAGCCGCACTTCCAGCAGCAGCGGCAGCAGGGGCAGCAGCAGCAGCAGCAGCAGCAGCAGCAGCAGCAGCAGCAGCAGCAGCAGCAGCAGCAGCACCACCACCACCACCAGCAGCAGCAGCAGCAGCAGCAGCACGGCCAGCACCGCCGCCAGCAGGCGCAGCCAAGGCCCCAGCGGCAGCACTCGGAGTGGGCCGCTGCGTTGCGACAGGCGGCCAGCGATGCACCCGGCCAGCAGCCCCACGCCTCTGCAGCGCCGCGGCCCATGGCTCCGCCACTCAGCAGCGGGGGGTGGTCGGCGCAGGAGCCGGCAATAGCGGCCGCGGCCTTGAACGGCGCCAGGTGGTGGCGGCAGAAATGAGGCGCAGCTGGCAAGGGCGGGCCCCTTCGCCCCACCCTTGCGTTTGTCTTTGGTCACCAGACTTGCTGGTCGGGCCGCAATCCACCCTTGCGCCTGCCTGCACATTACAACATGATCCCACAGAGTTGAGCCAGGGACCGCCGCATCACCCTCTTGCGCGCGCGACAGACCTCCCCGACCCTTTTCCTCGGCCGCTGAGAAGCGCTCGCCCTTGGTGCGCCGCACCCGCCACTCAGTGCTGCCTTGAGATGCTAGGGTTGTAGACTGACGCCCGGTTTCACAAGTTTGCCCTGTGCCTGCGACCACCGCGCTCGCCGCAATGCGGACAGCACCTGCCGGGGCACAAAGTTGTCACCGTTGGACAGACGGGCGCCACGGTGCTCTCACACGACTGAAGGTTGACGTTGCCGGCGCCACACATCCGTCAGCGAAGGCAGATGCATGGCCGTTGTGACCCATCGCACGCACAACCATGTGTGCCCCCTGCTGTGACCTCGCTGGCTGCCCCTTGGGAACTGCTGCTGCGGCTGGGATTGCAGGGATGGGCGGCTGTTGAATGTTGGCGCATCTGGCCCTGCGCTTAGTAGCACACGTTCCGCACTCTGTTGGCAGTCAGGGGTGTTGTCGTTGTTTGGCGCGGGTTGGACTGGCGTATGCAGATCTGGGATCTGTGACGGGTGATCTCTGGCGCTGTAACTCGTTTCCCAGCCCTAGACGTTTGCTTTGCAGGCTATGCAAAGGGAACATCAACAATCCAGATACGTCGTGCAACGCCCCCATCACCACTGTCTGTATTTGGCCAGGTCACACTGCCATGTGATTCTGGCCAGAGTGCACTCCTGCGCTGGAAACGGCCCAGGCATGATTCTTATTACACGTTCATCGCATGACAACACCATCATGACAGCATGGCACACCGCCACCGCCAGCACGGGCCACACGCTCACAGGGTTCAGCGCCAAGCTGGGGTGCTTGAGAGCTTCAGGGCCCGCATGGGCATGTCACCAGGCCGCGTTCCGGTTGGGGCCCACTGACCCAGGGGTCGGCGATGCATACGATTTGCCACAAGCTGTGGGTGAAACGGCTACTGCCGCCCTCACACAGTGGAGAGGGGCACATCATAACTCTCAACAAAAAAAGCCTCATGTACTCCAATACAATGCACACATCAGGCCGCCTCCTGCGCTGACATGCCCTGCCAACACAACTCCCCCAACAAAGCTCCCCAAACACACGTCGGTGCGTGAAGACAGGCCGCCCGTCGCCTGCCATAACACGCCCTATTGAGGAGTCAGCCTGTAACAGGGTCCTCCAACACAGCGGCCACCAGCCGCCACCAGCAAGGCAGCCGTCACCAGCAAACCACCTCTTGTGGACTGCCCTCTGGCGCCAGCATCCCTGAGAGGGCAGGAGGTTGTGCAGGGTGGTGGGCTCGCACATCGCGCAGCAGCTCCAGCTTCACAAGTGTGATGATGCAACGTGATAGAGGCTGGCGCAAGCCAAGCGGACGTCGTCTCCAATGGGGCTGCAGTCCTGCCCTCCCATCATCCCTGGGGGACGGGGTGAATCTCAGCCGCAGCAGCACCCTCGCCCGAGCCTCACGCCAGTGGCCCCAGCACGCCCCAGCGCGCCACCGCCTGCATGGCCCCAGCCGCAGGCCGCACACAGCCGCAGCCGAGGCGCAGCGAGGCCCAGGCCAAGCGAGGGACGCAGTCATGAATTCCCTCTGATGCTTCCCGGAGCTCTCACCCCTGCTGCTGCTGCTGCTGCTGCTGCTGCTGCTGCTGCTGCTGCTGCTGCTGCTGTGGAGCTCTGCAATGGGCCACGGCAGCACACCCACGGCGCCGCGCCCTGTCAGCTCGACCGCGCCCTCCAAACTGCCAGCCAATGATGCCCAGTGCTATAGCGGCGCACCCGGGCAGACGCACCAGGGATGATTGGCTGCAGGACAACCTACCAGCCATAGCGAAGGCCTAGCCCTGCCGCCACAGCCGCAGCTCTGTGCTTGCCACCGCAGCAGCCCGCCAAGCTGTCGGATGGGCTGGAGGGGAGTGGGCGGGGCTGGGGCGGTCGCAGTGCATCAGACGTGACACTTGCAGCAGCGTCGATGGCGGCGGCATGAAGTTGAAGGGTTGCGATTGAGAGGGGATGCAGCCCAAAGTGTGCAAAGGCCTGGCTGAATGGGATTCAGATGACATCAGCACACGTCCCGGCGAGGAACCGGCCCCCGCCCCTTACGCCAGCCATGTCGCTGCACCGCTGCCGCTCATGCCGCCTGTGACTCGTCCTCTCCTGTCGATGAACGTTGCAGCCAAGTCCATGGTCCTATTGCGCCCGCAGGCCCCCGCCAGAAATTTCACCTGGCAGCCTGAAAAGCTGGTGCAAACACACCTGATTCGCCGCCCGTGCAAGTTTCTCATTGACACGCGCAAGCCTGTTTAAGACCTCGCTGACTCGCCCACTCCTGCGCGGAAAGGAATCGGTACCGCACTAATCGGATGCCTTGAGGTGCCCGCCGCTACCACACACGCGCTCAGGCCGACCTGCGAAGGCTGCCTCCCGACGGCTGCCTCCATTCAGACTAGCGCGCCGCCAACGCCGTCGGCATTGGCGATTGCGTGCAGGCAGGGATCCGTGCTGCAATTGAGGCCGTTCTGGGCCTGTCGTAGTGGGGGGGACAGGTGTGTGGGGTGGCGACATATGAGCAATGACGTGCTGTTTTGATTGTGATAAGTCAATGCATGATTGTGATTGTGGTTCTGGTTGTGGCGGTGGTATTGGTTGTGCTGCCGGGGGTGGCGCCGACGAAATACAAGAAATCTGTGTGGGAGAATGACGGCCGCGGCCCAACAGTGCAACGCCCACGCTGATTTGACACACCACCTGGCGCGATGCGCCGCTATGAGTCCGACAGCCTACCGCGGCCTCGACACAGGTTGCAGCAGCCCCTCATCATGTCAGTCCCCCGCGCAGCAGCCTCACCTGCTGACCCAGGGAGGGCGGGGCGCTGCCTCCCGCAGATGGCGTGTCAACCAGGCTGCTGGCTCAATCCTGACAGACCCGTACTCTTGTTCTGCCTCAACAGCACCCATTGACACCCTGCGCGCCGCGCGTTCCTGCCACCTGCTGCCGACGGCTAAGCCTGAAGGCCGCACCCTGCAGCAGCCTGGGGCGGACGAGGCGCAGCCTCGGCTGCTGCAGCCTCGGGGCAGATAGACGAGGCGCAGGCCAAGGGTGCGCATGCCCTCAGAATTACGGCGCGGGATATCAGACCTGCTACCGATCGACCGCCTGCAGCTGCATCTGTGGCCCCGGATCCGCCACCTTTACTGGGGTCTGCATAGTCAAGCTGTCCGCGCATTGCAGCAGCACCAACGGTCCTCGACGGCTGCGTCTGCTCGTTTCACCCGCATTCAAACACAGCTCTGTCACCACCTGCATGCCTGCAAGACACAAGGGCGTGATATGCAGGCCTATCTGCATTCAGGGCCTGAATGCAGCGCCTATGCGCAGGTTCAAGGCCAGAGTTTACTTCAACGCCTGGGATGGCGGCCACGCAGCGCCTGGGCCGTTGCTGGGTACCCGTGCGGAAGTCGCCCTTGCAATGTGGTGGGGGCTCACCTCCTGCAGGCACACAGGCGCCATGCTTTGCTGTCATACTTTCGGCAGCGCGCTAGCTAGCAGTCGCTGCTGATGCCCGTCAGCCTGGTGCCATGGGGGCGGGCTCACGGCTCACCAGTTGAACCGTGCGCTGTTAGGACTGCAGCGTGAGCAGCGTCGGCGCTCGCACGCAGCCTGCCGCTGTTGAGGCCACACGCACAGAGCAGGACGCTGAGTCGCAAGTGATATCATGATCGACGCGGGCGGCCTCGGCGTCGGCAAGCGCAGTGCCTGTCTGATACATGGTGACATGCAGATAGTGCCGCAAGACACGGTAGCCCAACCAACACAACTGTGTTGTATGTGTAATAATTCCCCGTCATCTCAATGGAATTGGAGGCGCAAGTGGTACGGTAGAAGTGCGTTGCGATCTTTTCGGGTATGATCTCTCGGATCAACTGCTCTTCTTCACCAAATGCCATGCAGCAGAATCATGTCACTGAGCAACACTTGTTACATGCAGTGGCAAGACGAGGTCCCTGGCAGTCAGCAGAGCGACATTGCGTTGCTCCCGCTGCTGTGCTGCTAGGGTGTGCGCCGCAGTCGCGTGCCACGGCGGGCCGCTGCCCAAACTTGCTGCGCAGCATGCAAACTCAACTTACAGTAGACTCATGCATCCGGGCCCGCCTCCTGGCTCGTTTGTACGATGCGGCCCTTGAAACTTGCCATGCTTGCAGCGGTGGCCGTGGACCGTGCTGCGCTCGCTGGTAGTGTGGCCCTGGCCTCGCGGCTGCAAGGATACGCCAGTGGGTCAAGAGCCTGGCATGCGTAGCGTGGGGTTGTGGGTTGATCAGCATGGCGTTGCTGTGCCATCAATCTGTGGCAGCCGGCTTGGCTGCTGGTCCAACCTCAAAAACCGCCCCAGCTGTCAACCCGCGACAAGCTGCGCAGAAGCAACGCTGTCTGACCAGCTGGCTCAACATTGAGTTGTTATACCTTACGCTGCACAGTGGACGTCGCAGAGGTGTGCGGGTCATGCGATACAATTGGACGTTGCTGCACATCAGACAGAAAACAACTGCACCACACCGCCGCCTGCCACGCACTGCACTGATGGCCCTGCATCGGCACAGTCTTTGTTCGGGCTTGCTTGATACCTCCAACTGGGTTTCGTGGGCTGAGGGCGGCTGTGTCTGCTGGGCCGCGGCAGCAATGGAGGGGTGCAGTCGCATCGCTGTGGACAGCAGGACTGCAGGGGCAGGCCAGAGTCGCTCAATTCAGCGCCGGAATGCAGACTCAAAGCGCAGACATTTGAGTATGCGAATGATCCCTGGTATGCCAATGTTGTATACGCACACAATCGCTCCGCAGCCGTTTTCAACAATGCAAGTGAACCAGGGGCTGTGCAGCTTCCGCTGCAGACTGCTCGCCACCGCTTGCTTGAGCAGCGGCGATGCGTTGGTTCGATTGACTAAAGGTCTTCACATACAACCAAAATTTTGCCTTTACGACCTTGATGGAGTCAAACCCGCTTTCGGGCGAGTTGATTTGAGGACAGTGACCTTCGCTGGCGGCAACGAGGAGAGATATGGCGTCAGGCATGGCGCATATGGCGTTCCAAGTAGCAGCAGCAGGCGCCGAGGTGAGCGGACCCCGGGGCTGAGGTCCACTGCTGTTTTCGCTGCGTGGCGACGTCTGCGCGGCCCAGCAGCGCTCGTAGAGTACGGAGGTTGTGCTCTTGTATGGCCGTCACATCGGCCTTGCGCGCATTCCACCCTTGGGTGAGTGCTGCCCCTGCGCCACAATCCTGGGGATTGTCGTGTGCATGGCGTGACCCCACATGCATGCATGCAGCGTCCCTCGTTCGTGCGCCCCCGCCCCAGTCGCGGCCAGCATCACTGTGAGGGGCTGGCGTTTCCTCAGCTATACCCTGCCATGCACCCCTGGGACAAAGTCGTGGCGTGCGGTTCGCCCCACTTTTGCTTGCCAGTCAACACCTCGCCACCCTCCTCAACTGCCGATGTCGGCCTCCCGCACTTCCCCCCGCCCCAAGCGTGCAGGCGCCGACGGATTCTGCACACGGGTGCGGCTGGGGAAGACGTTTGTCATGACGACGAAGTTTGTGAAGTGCGACGTCACCTGCCCCGATGGCAGCGGCTATGTGAGTTCACGCTTGGCACGTGCAGGAGAGCGCCAGCAAATTGTATGCACCGGGCGTATCAGACTGGCTCGGCGGTACCGGTG